ATCTGAGATACTGTCCTCTGCCTGGAAGAAAGGAGTCAGTGTCGATCTGCAGCGCAAGCCGCAGGGACATGTGGAAGGAATTGGAGACGCTGATTTAATTCCTGGCCTCTAACTGGTATCTGAGCTGTGGCTTCCCCAGCCTGGAGGGCCCTGAATGGGCCCATTTTGTGCTCTAGACATGTGTGCGTTGGCAGAGCTCAACGCGGCCTCTGTGCTGCGGGAGGGAGGACAGCAAAAGGAGTCAACTGAGAACAGAAAGAAACGTTTGAGAATTTCCTCCCCAGAGGCACTGAGGGAATATTTGGAGCGGGTCGCATCCTGGCTCCGCGAGGAGCCTCAGTGCACACGGACGTGGAGGCACGAGGGAGCCCGAGACAAGGCCTGGCCGAGCCATAGCGTCCAGCCCGGGTTGTTCAAGGCGTTAGCACAGTTGTGACAGATGTTTTTAGTGCAATATCACAGATTCGGGGAATAAGCTGCGTTTTGCTGAAGTGAAAGAATTATGGTAAGAAAAACAGGAGCAGTGCAAAGAAAAGCGTCATTAGGAAGTGTTTTTGATACATTATTTGACAGAAAGGCTTGAAATATGATTGTGATTAAAGAGAATTTCCCAGTAAGGCTGGAGCACTTCCCAAGCAATGGTGGGGTTGAGCATCAGCCCAGCCCGGTGTGTCCGATACGGTGCTGTTACCCTCCCCGTGCCAGGAGTGACTCCCGCCAGCTTCTGCAGGCAAACGGAGCCAGTGAACACCGTGACGTCTCCTCCGCCCGCGAAAGGGTGGATCCAGTTAGGAGATTTAAAAAAAAAAAGAAGAAAAGCCTGAGATCTTAGTTCTTAGCCAAATCGGTGACAGCGCCGCAAGGCTGGGCGGCATTCTCACAGCAAATGTCCTGGAGTTGTTTTGTAATTTCAGGGCATGGTGTCTGCAGAGTTGAGAGGGATACATCTCCCTCAGCTTCCCCCTGGTGAAAGAAAAGTCACTTTGTGCAAATGCAACATCAGCTCCTCCTGAGAGGGAGATGCGCGTCACTGAAGGGCCAGGTACAGTGAGGGGCTTTTAGTGAGCCCCCAGACAGGACAGCCACGATGCTGGGTCTGCCTTTTTGTTGTGTGTTGTCAAGGCCAGCTCATTTCCAGGCCAGCACACCACCAACTCCTGCCTTTCGGTTTGCTGTGACCTTAAACCCTGGATGAGTCTTTGCCTCACTAATCTGGGCGTTTCTTTTTGCATTTCCAGAGGAAGCCTTGAAGTATCACAACGGGCCTCCAAGAAACGCATACATGGAGCAGAGCTTCCAGGGCTTGAACCCCGTCCTAAATATCCCCATCGGCGCCGCCCAGCTGGACCAGGCCCGGAGGAACGCGGCGCTCGTGGGCTCCAAGCTGGAGAGCTGGGTGGACTCGCTGGTGGGCAGCGCGTGGTCGGCCGTGGACATCTGCAGCAGCGGGGCCACCTCGTGCCCCGTGATGCAGGCGTGCGCGCAGACGGCGTGGAGCTCGCTCAGCCCCGACCCCAAGTCCGAGCTGGGCCCCGTGAAGCCCGACGGGCGCCTCAGGTAGCAGCTGGTGCGCGCGCTTTCCGGCATAGGTTTTAAAAGGGAATTTAACCTTGCTCACACGTGAGGCTCACGGCAGATTGCAGAAGCCTAAGGAAACGTTATACCTTGTTGTTACCGGTCGCAATGTAACTCCTCAGAGTCTGACAAGGCCTTTGGTGCTGTTCTCTCCGCCGCCCGGCAGCCTCGTGGGGCTGGGCCGGGCCGGGGCCGCCCGCGCTGCGCTGAGCCCACGGCCACCAGCGCTGGGAGCAGAACGAGCCGAGGAGAGGGCAGTGAAGGAGCAGCTGCTAAAAGTGTTTTTTTTATAATAAATTTACATGTACTTCTGCTGTTTCATAGGCTTTAATTATTTAGCTATCATGACTAAATCACAGCAAAACTCCCTTGTATTTATGTTTCCTGGGAAGGTTGGTTACTGCAGGCCATACCCTGTATGGCTCCTTCACCTTACAGAACATGAGGTATGTGGCACACACCCTTCCTTGTTATTAACCTGTGACACAAATCCTGGACTCGGATAATGTGTGCTGTTACCCTGGTGAGGGAAAATGAGCAAAAGCAGTGTTATTTTCAGACTAATGTCCTGATAAGCTCTACATGGAACCAGTGTTTGCAGTCATAGGTTTTTATTGTTCATGCAGTCAGCTTCAGGCTCCCGGTACTAGCTTTTTTTTTTTTTTTTTTTTTTTTTTAAAGAAAAAACTTTTTTTTTTTTTTTTTCTTTAAGCAAAGAAGCATTTTTGATTCCAGTCCCTTTGACATCTGCTTTTTCTTAAGCCTGTTTCAGCGGGTGCAGGCAGCTTTGGGTCTGGCTCATGATGAGGCTGTTCACTTCGCGTGCTCATGGTCGGAGCAGGTTGGTTCCTCAGGACCAGTAAAACGGTAGAATTTGGCCCTTTGCACTTTAGAGCTGGGCTTTATTTTTCTCCAAGGAAACAATACTGGGCCCTGAAGTTGCAGAAAACTGCTTCTTCCATAATTTGAGCAGTGGCTAACAAGTCTTAACACTAATTTCCTAGCTTAATCTCATATCTGCCAGCTCTTAGTGAAGATGGCTGTTTTTCAGTGCTGGGCATGTGGGAGGTTGTGGTGAGCAGGATGGGACGGTTCCTGGCCGAAGCCATGGGCTGAATTTGAAGGCGAACCATGCCGTGTTTCTGGTGCTGCTCTGTACTCTGCCAACACAAGCCCTACCTTTGCCTGTGTTCGGGTTTTGACTTTCTAGCAGGCTGCATCTTGTTTCAAATGTGCACATCTCACATCGTATTAACCTGCATTTTCTATACAAACAAAAACAATTATTTACATTCCAGCAACTTTTTAGAATACCTGTTTTTATATGCAAACATATCTCCAAGTAACGCATTTTGCATCTGTGTAAGATGTGCACTTTGTTGTTGTTTTTGCTGCGGTAATCTCTTGCTTAACACCATAACCCAAAAAGGCTATTAGAAGCCATTGGGTTAATTATAAAACACCTTGTTAATTTAGTGAAAAAAGGTAGCCTTTTACCCTTCTATATGCACGTATAACTTTCCTTTCTGCTGATGAGAGTTAAGCTTCCACATGAGGAGGGAAATAGCCCCTTAAATCATTCCGTAATTGTATCGCATGGAAAGGTTGAATTCCCTTTTAAACAACAGTTGCAAATGACCATAACACACAGGTCCCGGTGGCTCATTATATTTCTCTCCATAGTGTTGGTTTAAAGCTACTTGCAGTTTGCTTTGGACTTGAAATTGCAGTGTCAGCTGTGCTGGCATTAAAGCAGAGCCTTTAAATGTTTATCTGGCACAAAAATGGATGCATAGAAGGAACAATTTAGATATTTATTATTTATGTTTTAGTCAATGACTAATTAGTAGGTGCTGCTTTTGCAGCTTGAAGATTATGTTATCTTACTAACTGAAGCTGCCTTTATTAAGAAAAGGCCTTCCTCCCTTCACACCTCCCTTTACCGTCTCCTGCCTGGTTTTGACAGTCCTGGGAGCTGTAGTTTTAGGAAAGTTTGTAGCAGTGAGAGCTGGTTGAAATGTTTCTGTCAAAATAATGTTCCTGATTTTTGACTGGCTCTAGAGTCAAATCTGTTTAAAACCAGGGTTGCCAACAGGTTTTTTTATAATGGAAACATAGTTTTGTTACTCATTCCATAGTTTTTTTGTTTGTTGGTTTGTTTGGTTTTTAATAATACTTCTTTTTAATCTAACTCTCCATCAGGAAGGTCAGATTTCCTGGGGGCCTGTCGGTGCTCACTGTGACAGCCTGGGCACTAGGCACATTGCTGCAGTGGCAATGGCAGGTTAAAGCCCTGCACGTGGAACAGGGAGCATCACACTTAGGGCACACATCAGCTATCCCAGGCAATGATCATTCTTAATAGAAGTGCTGCAGCAGTTGCAAAATCCAGGCTGTCTTGTATATGTATAAGGGTATGCCCACACATACAGGTAATCTGTTTTTTAAATTTGATACTTTCTTTTTTATTCTTAAACAGGAATGTTTTTTACGTGCTTTGTTGAGAAGTTCTCATTTTGAACTATGTTGAGCAGAAGGTGGCAACAATCCAGCCTTTTATGACTAGAAGAAAAACTGCCACTTTTATCATTTAAAATTTAAGGTTCAAATTACTTTGGTTTAGTTTAAAGAAAAGAAATAAAGTATTTGCTGATATATTGATTCACATTATGTACTGTGTTTAAAATAGCTCAAAGAAATGTTTTATATCAGTTTGTTTCCTAAAAGACAAAAAGCATCGACACCAAGAGGCTCTGTAGCAGGCTGGCAGCTCGGTGCCGCTCTTCTGAGGTTCGATGTTGCTGAAGAGGCTGGTCCTGCAGTCCTTCCTCAGGCAAAACCTCCACGGAGCACTGGGCCTCAGGAAGGACTTCAGGGCCACAGCCAGCCTCAGTGGGAGGCGTGACAATGTGCTGTGAATAAACACTGCGCGTGTTTGAAAGCGCTGCAGGATCAGCTGCTGTGCTTGGAGCATCTTGTGCAGTGAGTGTCACATTCCGGACCTGTGTGACAACCCTCCACTCTAGCTATTAATGTGCAGACACTGACGTCCAGCTCCCATACGGGGCACTGTGTCTGAGCTCCGCAGTGCAGTAACTGAAGTCCAGCCCATGGGAAGCGACGGCCGTCGCGGGGCCCCCCTTGCCCAGGGCTGCCGTGAGGGCCTCAGCTCAGCCTCCTGCCTCTCCTGGTTCGAGGAAGCGTGAAGCCTGCAACGAGCAGTATGTTTTGTTAGAAGAGAAGGACTTCACAGATGTTACATTTGGTGAAAAGGAGAATTCAGAGCAGGGACCCACAGTTTGTACAAAACAAGCAGGTCAGGCGTCTTCACGTGCATATTCTGGTGTTATTTTCCAGTTGTGCTGGCATGTCCTTTCGGATGAGGGCTCCATCTGAAAGCCAGCTTTAATCCAAATCCCTCTCGGTGCGAAACGGCTGCATTTCCATATGCACACATTTGTCCTCTGTGTAATGCTTTGCTGGTTTAAATTTTGTGCCCGTTCTGCTAGATTGCCACATTCCACTTCTGTGATCAATCAATATTACATGGAAAGGAGATGTGGCAAAATGCACAACATCCATTTACATGTTTTAATGAATTATATCCCAAGTCAGTCTCAGTAAAATGCAGCCTGTTTATATGGTAGTGTTAAACCTTAATGCTAGTAGAAATAACTCAAATGACAGTTAATTTTTAGGTGTGTCCATTTTTTTTCTTTGCTGACATTCGGATAGGAGTAGTAGTATGTATATTTTTATTTTTCTGCTATATAAAAGTGTTTTTTTTTAAGTTGAAATTATGCCTGCTTTTTTGTGCTCTCTACAAGCAGAGAAAGCGTTTTAACAATTTTTCTGCCACAGCAAGTAGGATACAAGGGCGTCCATCTATATCTCCATGCTTTCTATCGCTAAGTGTGGAGACACAGGAAATTGCATCTGTGTGTCACAAATTGGCTTTCCTGCATGTTGGCTTCAGGGCACCGTGCGTGGGCAGTTGTTTAATGGGACAGAGTGACTCTGCAGCAGGCGCCGAAGCGCCAGCGGGTTCACCTGCACCAAGCGCAACACTAAGGTTGTCTCAAGCTCTCCCAGCTGCTCTTGCAGGGGTCAGAGGAGGGAATTCAGCACCTGGCTGAAGGGGGACAGGAAGGGTCATGAACTTTGATAAAGTTTGGCACAATTATGCGGCAGGAAAACTTTGAGCAACCTGAGCACCTTCTCTTCTGCACGGCAAGGCTGAGAAATGTTGCTACAGTGAGATGTAGCTTCAACTGCCCACATCAAAAATAAAGTCCAGATTTTTAGCGTGTCTGGACAAAAGGAGCCACCGTCTCTTGACTTCAGGTCGTCTCTGGCGTCACGGCTGTGAGGGCTGCCCGCTCATGCCGGCCGGCGCAGCCTCCGCCGTGCGCAGCCCCCAGAGCTGGGGAGGGCAGCCCTTGGCCCCTCCATCGCTCCCAGGGAGCAGGAGGCTGTGATGGGATCCAGGCTGGTTCGCTTTGGAGGCGGCTCGGTCCTGGCCTACATGAAGGGGTCTGCAAAGCGGTGGCAGTTACGTGCCCTCGCTGTGAGCCTACACGTGCCCATGTGGGGTAGGAGGTCGGGTAGCCGCACAAGAAGGCTGAGCACGTAGGGAGCGGGGAGGAGTTTCTCCCGCTTTGGCCTGGTAGTGAAAAGCTGCTATTTTAAAATGTGCTTTTATCTCAACTAGATGACAGGCCTCCAAGATAGTCTTAAGGAACTGGGCAGTACCTTAAACCCCTATTATATGACAACTGAAATTGTCACAGAAAAGAGACTCTGCAGCACTACCTAGCCCTTGGTGCTCGGCACCTGCCCGAGCGCGGGAGGCTCTAGCGAGGAGCTCCCTGTCCAGGGGGCTCCGCCGGGACTCCCGGCCCAGGCGCCGCGGGCAGGAGGTGCCGGGGCGGTGACGGAGGCCGCGCGGCGCGTTGCAGGCCGAGGCAGCCGGGCCTGCCCGCTGCCCTCACCCAGCTCCAGGCCGCAGCACAATTAGGGCTTCTCCAGCCCCGCGCGGTGCTGCCGGAGCCTCAGCCTTGTCCCTGGGCCTGCAGGTGCCCTGTTGATTTTGTTGATTTTTTTGCGGTAGTGCCCAGTT